AAAAAGGTTCTGATCAATGTTAAAGTTTGCGGACACCAACGGCACGAAGCAACGGCACCGTGCGTGGCAACGGCAACGGATTCGTGTACGCCGACATGATTATAACAATAACTCTTATTCTGATAAAAACAAAACGATTACATATAAGGTGTTTACTGTTATATTCGTTATAATGTACAGTGAAATTTGAAATGTTTAAGAAAATTTAGTTCAACATACTTTCAAAAAAGACATGAAATTTAATTCTCGTTAACTAAAGTACTGGTTAATAATAAAAATTTCAAATTTTACCTTCCATGTCAAGAAATATGTTTAAATCCTAATGAACAACAATGACAGCTTTATTTTTAAGACAAATAACAGTTCGATTTTGATGACAAAAAACGCCTTCTCAAACAATGGAAACTTGGATAAGAGCCAAATAATTGCTGCGGTTTCGGTTACAATCAATATATACGTGTATAGCTATTTTAACATACATATATTAAATAACACGATAATATAATAAAGTGTTCCTTAAGTTTGTGTAAAAACGTCCCGGTTTAAATTAATCCGCCAGAGTGGCACTAGTTATCAACCAGTCATTCCAGCAAATTTTATCAGCGTCTATCATGTTGCAACATCTGTATCTCAGCTTTTCTATTGTAGTCTGCTAAAATATTAGTATGGCATCAGATCATTTTTACTATGTCTTGATATCAGTATTACTGGGTCAGAGAAATTATGTCATGATTTTCTGCCATAAAATTGCAAGAAAATCATGCAGATTGAACGGATATTCGCACGTGGTTTAGACCTAAAAAAAGTTGTGTTAATACTATTTTTGAGTTATTTACATTTATTTCTTGTAAATATAAATAGAGTTATAAAAATGGTAAGGGTGCTTAAGTTTGGTACCTCGAAATAAAAGATACAGTGATTCCGTTCACCCATTCTGGTTTAACTAAGGTATGGTGGCTGATTAACGCCATGTCGTATTTTCGCTTCTTCGCCTTATAATGCGGAAAACACGAAGGGACGACAAAGTTGGACTTTGTCGTTTCTTCGTGTTTTCGCTTTTTAAGATTTTCGAAGCAAAAAAGGCAAAAATACGACAGTTATCCAGCGATTGAAAAGACGACACATAAAATATGTCGCTTTTTCTCGTGCAAAGTACAAAAATGCGAAAACACAAAGAGACGATACTTTATCGATTCTTTATTCCCTTTCTCGCATTGTTACATTTTAATATAGTTGCATTTTGCATTGTTACATTTTCGCATTATTGCATTTTGTTTTTTTGCATTGTTACATTTTCGCATTGTTTAATTTTCGCATTTCCTCGTTCCGGTTGTACATGCGCATGGATGCATCAATTACACATATGCCAAGATAGTATCCTTTTCAATACATTATAATGTGATTGTTTTCCGACTGGTTTGCATTCATTATTTTAAAATACAATTGAAAAACGTGGCTTTCGAGTGAGAAAAACAGTCAAAATACAACAATGCGAAAAAGCGAAAACACAACAATGCGAAAGGTCAAATTGCAAAAATGCCAAAAAACGAAAATACGACAGATGAAATGCAAATAGACGACAGATTTTACATGTCGTATTTGTCGCCCTTCTTCTGTCATATCTCGCTTTCGAAAAAGCGAAAACACGAAGAGACGACAAAGTTGACTTTGTACGTGTTTTCACATTTTCGCTTGTTTTAAAGGCAAAGAAGCGAAAACATGTCATGAGGAAAATCAGTCATCATACTAAAAAAGAATACCCGTTTATTATTATGTAAATTAGATAAGCATGTATACATATGGGTATGTTAAAATTTTGCACATAGTAAAACAGATACACCTAAAATGTATAAAATAAAGCATTGTTTTGTAAGGAGTAAATTTAGTTATAAAGTGCACTGTTAATATTTTGTGAATATATATAAACGTATAAATTCATGTTTAGAAAAAAACATACATAGTAAAAATAGATACAGATTAGATTTGTGCAAAAGAATGCGTTATCTTTTTCCTAGTAGAATTAGCCAGTCATCTATATGATAGCAATAAAGATAATATATGATAACCTGTTTTTATCATAAAACGATTGCTTATCATCTCGAAACTGTATCATATCTGTGCAATTATTTTCAATTTGATTATGTCATTCGTATAGTGAAACCCCAAAAATTTGACCGCTTCTTATAAATTTACTTAATGAAATGCTTGCACGAAACAGTATACATGAATATATTGTCATGTTAAATCACTGTCTTATTTGTAAACGTTGTATATCTATAATGCATAAGATAACGATTATAGTCATAGAATATGTTTCTTAAATTGCCTATGAATTTATAACATTTGTGTTTAAGTAATGTAATTTTGAGCATATTTTAATTATTTTTTATTATATAAATGATGTTAAAGAGACATCATGAATGCTTGGTTATCACTAAAGTACATTAGGGTCTTAATAATACGTGTATATCTACAAATATATTTAAATATCATCTAATCTAAATATTATCTCAGCAGGAAACAATCACATTTTATAAATGAATAATGTGTTTGGTTTAAAATGTTGTGAATGTGTTATATAGGGTAGTGCATGTGTCTTCAGACCATGTAAGTTCCATTGCATAACTTTAAATTTTAAGATTTTTGCAAATATAATTACATATAATTAACTTGATATATTTATATATTGATTTAACATTTATTTTACATTTATCGTATCATTAGATAATATGTCTTAAGTAACCTCCTCAAAGCGGAAAATCAAAAATATTTTGACTACAGTTCGCCAAAATGTGTGTGGTGAATAATGGTTGTAAAATAAATACAGGTCAAAATATAAATTGCCTTTGCCATCCGCAAACTTATAACCTTGATCATAACTATATAAGTTCTTGGTATACTGTCTAAATACTTGGCCACAAACATCCCTTGGGTCAAGACCTTTAGTAGTAGACCAGACTAAACTTGACCTCCATTTATAAATGACCTTGACCTTCAAAGCCAAATGTCTAAATTTTGTTCTTTTTGTTTATTTTTTGCTATAAGTGGCTATAACTTTGTTATTTTTGAATGGATTGTCTTCAAACTTGAACATAATAATCTTTTAGGATAGACCTTTAAGTTAAACACACAGGCCTTGACCTTCTTTCAGAAATGACCTTGACCTTGAAGCTGTCAAATTATTGAAATTTTCTTCCTTTTTTTTGCTGTAACTGACTATAACTTTGTTATTATAAAATGCATTGGCTACATATTATATTTTAGATTAAAACCTTTTTAAAGGTTGAACTTAAATTTTTAGCTGGAAATGACCTTGATCGTCAAGGTAAAATTATTGGATTTTGGTTAAATTGTCACAATTGTGTTGTTTATGTACGGATTTGATTTAAACTTGGGAAAAACAAGACTTGCTACCAAACAAACATATTGAATAATTTAGATGTGACCTTGACTGTCAATGTCAAATTAATGAAATTATCCTGTTTTTTATAACTGGCTATAACTTTGTTATTTATAAATGAATAAAATAGACACAAAATATTTTATGGTCACGACCTTCATATACATGTATATCAAACTCAAAATGACATTGACTCATGTATGACCTCGACCTTGGAGATCAAATTATTTTATATTCACTGATAATTTCTATAACTGGCTGTAACTTTGTAATTAATCAATGGGATTATTTTCATTCTAAGATAAAACAACATTTTGGATATGATATTCTAAAAGGTTGAACGGACCTTGACCTTGAGCTTCAAAATGACCTTGGCCGTCAAGGTCAAGGTATTGAATTTTGGTTAAGTTGTCAAATTTTTGCTATTTATGTAAGGATTTGATTCATATGTAAGAAAAACAACAGTTTTGACCAAACAAACATGTGGAATAATTAAATTAATTAACATATGACCTTGACCTTTAAATGACATTGACTGTCAAATGATTGAATTTTGATTATATTTTCTTAACTTGTCATTTACTTATGGAAAGGATTCATATTTGGATAAAAACAACAAGGGTTACTATACAGACCTATTAAAATAAAGAAAGGAAAAATGTGTTGTTGTTTTTTCTTTAATTTTCTATATACACATATGTGTAAACCGTTTGTTTGTTTGCTTTTGGAAAGATTAAAAAAGTCGAGCGTTCCTCCGCCCGGCGGTGGCAACTATATAAGAACTTGAATCACTTGTCCCTCAACGCTTTATGTTCAAATTCCGCCAGGGACTTTGAATTCTCTCATGTGAAGAAGCTACCTAGGTAACTTACAGGACATCGGTGGATCTACTGAGGTGCCCGCTCATAACTGAAAAAAAAATGAACGGATGGGCTCTTGAGATCATCTTCCGCGAGAAAAGTCGCCTAATTACCTTAGAAAATGTCGGTTTGACTTAATATCCAACAAAAAAAACCCCAAAGAATGCAGATGACATTATTAATTTGATTATGACATATAGAACAATGATGGTTTAGTAAAAAAATATATCAATGTAGCCTATATACATGTCACTTGTGGGTACTTGACACCAACTTTAAATTCAAATTTTGTTCTTTATCCAGATTGTGTGCAAATAGAATTCATTATTCTGTAAACTAAGTACTGGTTTACTAGCTTCATTTTGCCATTCATTTAATAGTTTAATCTTTATTTAATTTGTCTGCACATTACGTGCATTCGGTATTTAAGATTTTACTTAATTTCTCCATGTTTAGCTATCGTTTTAAAAAATTCCTTTTCTATTTAACTTGTCTATAAAATGCATTCATTAATATGTCTAAAAAGTACTAACTTACTTCAATTTCACTTATCAAGTTAATAGTTTGTTCTTTAATTTAACTTAAATAAAATTTATTCAGAATTTTGTCTAAAAGTACATAACTGATCTTATCGTCTTGACTACCTAATTTTATAAAACATTTCGATATGTAAAACAATTAGTAGTGTACGACCCAAAATAAATAGTTTTACTTGATCTTTATTCCTGTCAAGCCTCTGATGACACAGACTAGCAAAATGGACGCAATCGGCAGAATGTTGCGACCTCCAAGCTTAAAATCCGTAAAAGAAGGAGCAAAATCATTATTTATCCCGCATTTTATAGTGAATTTATTTCTTTCAACATCATTCTTTATTGTGAAAACCCTGCCGCCGATTTGTGATGTGTTATTTGAGGATTGTTCCCTTGAACTCGTAAGTAACTATTTACAAATTATAGATCTATGCGATTCGCCCCAGTCACGATTGAATTCGCCCGACTTTAAAAATGTGAAAGTAAGGAGACACTTTTTGGCCAGCTGAAATTCCTGAATAAATAATAATACGATATTTAGACACTTCTGCAAAATAAAACACACCTTCATTTGTATTCATAATTTCTAATCTCTTTAAAATTTCAGTCATGCATTTTTTCCCAATTTTTAACAATTAAAACATCGCTGAAATTCCCAATGCCATGGGTATGGGTCATGTTCCCTAAATCCTGGAAAAAATCACTGCCGATTCAATGGCATGTTATCATAAAGAGAGATTTGCCACATCAGTATAAAACCTGTCGCTGTTTGTACCAGTTTTGACTGGATGACTAAACTGACCTAACAGACGGGTTTTGTATTTGTGCTAATACATGTCTGGCAGACGCACCCATGGCCCTTTGCTGCCAATATTACTGGGCCACTTTTATTTTTTAGAATAGCTTCCTCAGTGAGTTTCACTGATAAGTAGAAATCTATATATTTTTAATTCTTTTTTATTTGATATCTTTTTAAATACTTACATGAAGTCTAATTTTTTCAGTTTTTATTGTCAGTGCCTGCAACAATCTCAAAAGGTGTTTCCATTCTTATGATTACAAGATTGTTCATAGAAATTACTATGATTGATATGAAACAAATTATAAATCTTATACAATTCACTATTATGACCTTATTAGTCCCCTACCGGTTTAACCGGAGGGGACTTTAGGTTTACCCTCTGTCCGTCTGTCTGTCCGTCTGTCAGTCTGTCAGTCCGTCCGTCCACAAAACTGGATCCCGCGATAACGCAAAAAGTACTGAAAATATTTTTATGAAACTTGATATATTTTTTTTCTTCCTATGTTGAAAATTCTGGTTGCTATGGCAACAAATAGTCTGAAAATATGGCAAATTTAACACATAAACTGGATCCAGTGATAACTCAAAAAGTACTGAAAATATTTTTATGAAACTTGAAATATGGGTAGATGGCAGTCTGGAGATTATGCACATCTTTTTATTTTCTTCCTATGTTGAAAATTCTGGTTGCTATGGCAACAAATAGCCTGAATTTCAAGATTTCTGATTTAAATTTTTCAGCTTTTTCACTATATGTTCTTTATTTCTTAAGGTGTTTACTTCAAACTTTAAATATAAGTTCCTGGTCATCAACCACATCATATGTGACAAGGTTTATAACTCTAGCACAAAAAATATTAATATTACCTCCCTTGAACTTAGGATTTTTTAGGGGAAAAAATGTTGTCTTTTTTAAATAACTTCTTTATTTCCTAATGTATCTACTTCAAACTTCATATATATGTTTCTTATTATCACTCGACATTTTTGAGAAGGTTAAATACTCTAGCAAGACTATTTCCAGAATTATGTCCCCCTTGAACTTAGATTTTTTTCGAGAAACTGGTATTTTCACTCCAACTTCTTCATTCCTTATAGGATTTACTTTAAAATCCCACATCGTAATAATATGACAAGGTTGTATAAACATAATTTCCTTACTAAGCATGGAAACTTAACACATTACTGTGATATAAACAAACTTATTTTATTATGTTTTGTGGTCGATATTTTCAAATACAGACTTCATCCTCAAATTCATTATAAATGGCAATACACAGGAGTGTATGACAATTAAAGAACTTTTTGAGGGACCGGTAGGGGACTACTGTATTGCCCGCAATACTATCAAATGCTTGTTTTTTATACTCATCAGCTAGAGGTGCGCGGTTTAACCGGTATACTGGTAAACCACGGTCCGAGACATCTGCGGTATGTACAGCAGTACAGACCTGGAAAACCGGTACTTTTAGCTCTAATTTAAAGCAATTACGGATCCGTAAAATGTACTAAATGAAATCATTTTCTGTTGTATATGTCAATATTTCTTTGAATTACCCTCTTTGCAAACAACTTTCGCCGACTGTTATCATTCCCCTATAGTTCTTACCATTGCTTTATCGATAACCGCATGTAAGCTAGAATTGTCGACTTGCATGATGTCAGTGGAAGAAGCAAGAAATGTCGACTTACTTTTACTTGTCCAAATATAGGAAAACTAATCATTCATGAGGGCATTCCGTGCATAAAATAAGGGTGTAACTATTTTAAGTATTTATATAATAGCTACAAACCAGGCGAGGGGTTTTCCTTACGTCACGCACTTACTGCATGCGCATGGCAATTAACTAATTATAGAACGGCATAGAAACTGGATTAAAAGTAATGTTTGTTCAACTAATGAATATTAATTAAGCAGTAACATGGTCAGCTGTTTTTTATGTGATAATTTTAATTTGCTTTTGGGGTACATGTTTATTTTGGTTTCTGACACGGATTAAATACTTAGCTCTTGCAATAAAAAAATTACAATAGCAGCTAGGACTAACCGACAATTGGCTAACGTGCATGTGACCTATTATTTTATTAATCAATAAGCAACAAAAACATTTTATTTTCCCATTTTAACTATGCAATTTATATAACAGTTTTTAAATGACCAATATGAAATAAAAAAAAAACAACAAAAAAACCAAAAAAAACAAAAACTGATTCATGACCCAATTAATTTATGATTGTCAACATACGCAGCATATTTGATGTTTTTGAATTTTGTCGAAAGTACCTGATTAAAAAAAGTTAAATGATGCTCTGATTAATCTGTATTTTATAGATCTGCTTAAATTAAATATTTGAAATTCTATACCAGCCTACCTTAGTGATACTTATTTTAGAGATAAAAAATTAACCTACAGCATACAATGAAAATCCGTGGTATTTTCTTTCTGGCGGTACCCAACTCTATCATCAGCGGTTGTACACTTTTTACTTCACATTTTATGATTAAAAAATTTATAATGCACTTAGTGTGCACAATTTTATGATTACAAAATTTATAATGCACTTAGGACTGCACATTTTAGGCAGCACAATTCACTCAACACTACCATACACTATTTTTTCTTTTGAAATATGGCCATTCAGTCAAAAATTTACGTACATTAATTTAGTTGATAATTTATTCATCTAACGATTGTGAATTCATGCACTTAGAGTCCCATTTCTGGAAAACATAAGTTTGCAAAACTTCACATTTGTATTTATGGTAATTGGCAAGGGAATCCAAATGTCAATTTAAATGTGAACCATAAAGAGACAGGAGACAAGAAAAATTGTTTGCCTGTGTGCTTTGGTAAACAGTAGTGCAGGTTACCCTGCTGGTACTGATCCTGGCATCCTCCAAATATAACAGGACCAGGAACCAAAATAACCTCCGATGAAGAGCAGGCAAACTTATGACCCATAATTTTTAGCTCGACTATTCGATAAGAATAAGTAGAGCTATTGCAGTCACCCGAGCGTCGGCGTCGGCGTCGGCGTAACCACTTATGTTAAAGTTTTTTGTAATAGTTCAAATATTTTCAAAGTCCATTGACATATGGCTTTGAAACTTTGCACACTTGTTCACCATCATGACCCCAACCTGTAGACAGGAGGAGGTAACTCTATCAAGCATTTTGACAGAATTATGCCCCTTTTTCGACTTAGAATTTACGTTAAAGTTTTTGTAATAGTTCAAATATTTTCAAAGTCCATTGACATATGGCTTTGAAACTTTGCACACTTGTTCACCATCATGACCCCAACATGTAGACAGGAGGAGGTAACTCTATCAAGCATTTTGACAGAATTATGCCCCTTTTTCGACTTAGAATTTACGTTAAAGTTTTTGTAATAGTTCAAATATTTTCAAAGTCCATTGACATATGGCTTTGAAACTTTGCACACTTGTTCACCATCATGACCCCAACCTGTAGAGACAGGAGGAGGTAACTCTATCAAGTATTTTGACAGAATTATGCCCCTTTTTCGACTTAGAATTTACGTTAAAGTTTTTGTAATAGTTCAAATATTTTCAAAGTCCATTGACATATGGCTTTGAAACTTTGCACACTTGTTCACCATCATGACCCCAACCTGTAGACAGGAGGAAGTAACTCTATCAAGCATTTTGACAGAATTATGCCCCTTTTTCGACTTAGAATTTACGTTAAAGTTTTTGTAATAGTTCAAATATTTTCAAAGTCCATAGACATATGGCTTTGAAAATTTGCACACTGTTCAACATCATGACCCCAACCTGTAGACAGCAGGAGGTAACTCTATTAAGCATTTTGACAGAATTATGCCCCTTTTTCGACTTAGAATTTACGTTAAAGTTTTTGTAATAGTTCAAATATTTTCAAAGTCCATTGACATATGGCTTTGAAACTTGGCACGCTTGTTCAACATCATGACCCCAACCTGTAAACAGGAGGAGGTAACTCTATCAAGCATTTTGACAGAATTATGCCCCTTTTTCGACTTAGAATTTACGTTAAAGTTTTTGTAATAGTTCAAATATTTTCAAAGTCCATTGACATATGGCTTTGAAACTTTGCACACTTGTTCACCATCATGACCCCAACCTGTAAACAGGAGGAGGTAACTGTATCAGGCATTTTTTTTACTATCAAGCACTAAGAATAGTCGAGCATGCTGTCCTACCGACAGCTCTTGTTGCTATACTTCTTGTGAAAGTTTTCAAATCTGGAAACAAAGTGATCCCTCGGAAGCATTAGTCACAACAAAATTACATGAAAATTGCAGACTCGGTTTGATTGAGTCTGTACATGAGGGATAATGAATAAATGCAACATCCCTCACGTCCTCTAGCACTGGCTTGAGCGGTACTCATTTCTCAACAATTAATAGTGCTGGAGTCAATGATCCCGAAGGACCAGAAAATATAACAACACTGATTATCACTATTTTATAAGCCAGTCACACATGACTGGTGTATGGTAGAACTTTTATCTAAAGTAAAAGTTGCATAGATCTTGTTTTTACTGAAATTGTTTTTGGTCATCAATGTAACTTCAACCTGCATTTGTGATTAGCTGAGCTGTTTATCTAATTTCAGAAACAATGGGAGTGGCTCACTTTTCTCGGCTGTGTCATTGTCCTCAAAAACAGAAAACAAGGTACCTTTCAGTTATAAAAGATACATGATATTAACTGTAATTTCAAATTCAGGTAGATCTGTGTAGTTTAGTGGTGATAAAAGTGTGAATGAAAGATTATGAAAAAATGTAGATTCATAGTCATTGACATTGGTTTTTTTCTGCATGAACTTGAGGCTTAATAAATGTTGACCTTTTCCCAGTTAACAAAACTGTTCAAAAATCCCAATTTGATTGTTGAATATACCAAACATATTGAAGGTTTTCCTAACCAGCTCAACTTTATGCATACATGTCTATAATTATGTCATTTTTAGTTTAATTTTTTTGGATAAATTATAATTTTTACTTAACTAAAATATGATAAAAAGTGCATGTTTCAAGTAATTTGATTTTTTCTATTTTCACTGGAAAGAATTAACTTGCACATAATATGGGTTAAAACATTACAATATTTACCATTGTAAAGTACACCCTTCAACATCTTTGTTTTTTCGGGGCGAGGGCAGAGTCCCTGTCTTGGGTGTTTTTTTGAAAAGGGCGTTAAAAATCTAGTCCTATTTACCAATCAGCTTCTTGCTTTGTTTTTGTATATTTTTTTGTAAGTATTTTTTATAAAAAGCTGTATTTTTATAAATCCTTTTCCTGAAATTTTTCGTCCCCTTAAAATGGGGACGGCTTGTTTGTTCGCCGGGAAATTTTGGTTCATTCCTCGAAAAAGCGAACCGTTCCTTTGACAAAAATTTTTATCAATATCTCTACTTGATTTAAGGGTTATTTGCCTAGTACAGATTAGAATCATAAAAAAATAAATAAGTAGTCATTTACTTTGGAAGAATTTGGTAATGATGGTAACCAATTAGGGTTAATTAATTACTGGTTGGGTTACCGGGTAAACCCATCAGCATTGATTAACTGGCAAGATGTGGCCAAAATGTGTTGAAACTAAAAATTCAAATGAACAATCCAGCCGATGTTTCATAGTGATTGTGACCTGCTATCGGCTTGTCTATGGTTAGCTAAATGGACTTTTATATAAGAGGTTTATTTTTGCTGTGAATGAGCAATAGACAATATATTCAGGCATTTATTTTTTGTTTTGCATACTGACCTGGCTTAACAACTGTTTGCCATGCCATTAGTCCTGGAAGAGTGAAAACATGTACCAACAAACTATATTCTTGCTTTTAATTTATATATGTGATGTAGAAGCATGTGGAAATTTAATTCTGGTTGAATGGCCTTGATATTAAACTCTACTTTCACTTTATTTGTTAGAAAGGACAGGGCTTCATACTTTCATTAGTATCTTGTTGAACTACTTTTGTAAATATTAAAAAGAGTCATTTGATACCCATCAATAAACACAATTTTAACATTAAATTCCTTATTGCTTTCAGTACTTTTGTATTTTCCTACCAATGCATTTTATAAAAGTCCGTTTTGGGCATTTGGGGTAAATATTTATCCTCCTTTTTAAATTCATCATCTTTGGGTTTTTTTTAAAAGTTGAACTACATGAGTTCAGAAATTTTTTTTTTTTTAAATTGTTTAAGTAAAAGGGATCTCTTGCTCGGTTTTAAATCTTTTATTTTTTTTTATTATACATTATAAAGTAAGAGAAACCCGCTATTTTGATTATTTCTTTGAAGCCCTTTAAGTTTTATTCGTTTTAACTGTATACCTGTTTTGTTTCCTCCATTTATATCATCTTTTCCCCCAAAAAAGAAAAAAATTTTAAATTTTGAAAAATTTTGTTTCTTGCCCAAAGGGTTTTTTCTATCTAACCAAATTCCCATTAAATTTTCCCCTTTATCAGCTAGGGTTTTGGGATTTGCCCATTTTTATTTTTGACAAAATTTTTAGTTAAATTTCAGCATCTGCCTTCATTCTGTTAATGGGAAATGTTTCTTTTTAAAGGGAAAAACAAAAGGTTTTTTGTTACATTTTCAAAATGAGATAGCTCGAGAAAAACGTTTTAACTGGATTATGTTTTTTTTTTGCCCCCGGGTTTTCCCCATGGTAAATTTACTCAATTTTTTTCGATTTTTTTCCCCGGTAAGTTGAAATTAGGTTATCAATAAATTTTTAAAAAACTATAAATAAAATAAAATCAACTGTTATATAATTTAAAGGTAAATTTACAATGTTTAAATTAACTTTTTTTTCGGGTTATCCCTTTTGGGTAATAAAAACAGAAAATTTATGAATTTTACCCTCACTTTTACGCAAGTAAAATGTGAAAAAATTAACATTTTTAAATTTAAAAATTTATTTACCCCAAATATCAAAGATTCAAATTTTAAAAAAAATTAAAGTTTTTTTTAAATTTTTCATACTTTTTAACATTATTTCGTTTAAAAATTTAGAAATTTAAATTTTAAAAGCTAATGTAAGCAGTTGTAGGGGGGCCCAGATAATTTTTTTTTCTTTTACATTATTAAAACCCCATAGGTGATGTTGGTACAAAATCTACCCTGCGACCAGTGCAGCCCGAAAAATGATAAACCATGCTCTGATTTTCCTTTTTTTGTTTCCTGAAAATATTTTAAATTTTTTTTGCTAATATGATGAACCCCAAATGTTTTTTAACCCTTGACTGATGGAGAAGCCCCATATAAATTTAGAATTAAAAGGGTTGAAAACCCTTTTTTAAATGAAAAAAAGCAGGAATAAAATCTGATAATTTAATGTTGACTTAAAAGCTTATTTCACGGTGTTGAGCTGGCCATAAATACAGGCATACTGTATTGTCCACAGGCATTTGATCTTAATAGATAAGCAAGCACTTACAAGTTATATGCATAACATTGACAGCTTGTTCTTTAGTAAAATATTGACTGGCCCATAACTAAGTGTTCATTAGCACACTGCTCTGGTGTGATTTATATGAGATATTATCATGAAATATCACATATCGATAATATAAATAAAACACTGTAGTTAATTGTACTGTTATTTATAAGCCATAATGAGTAAAATAATAATTTAATGAAATTACTATTCCTACACTAAAGAAATTACTTTTTCTACACTAAAGAAATTACTTTTTCTACACTAAAGAAATTACTATTTCTACAGTAAAGAAATAACTATTTCTACAGTAAAGAAATTGCTATTTCTACACTAAAGAAATTACTATTTCTACACTAAAGAAATTACTTTTTCTACACTAAAGAAATTACTATTTATACACTAAAGAAATTACTATTTATACAGTAAAGAAATAACTATTTCTACACTAAAGAAATTACTATTTCTACAGTAAAGAAATTACTATTTCTACACTAAAGAAATTACTATTTCTACACTAAAGAAATTACTATTTCTACAGTAAAGAAATAACTATTTCTACACTAAAGAAATTACTATTTCTACACTTAAGAAATTGCTATTTCTACACTAAAGAAATAATTATTTCTACAGTAAAGAAATTTCTATTTCTGCACTAAAGAAATTACTATTTCTACACTAAAGAAATTACTATTTCTACAGGTACAGAGTGAACACATCATCATTTTCCAAGCAATTGCCTACACTAATACTGTTCCAAGATGGGAAGGAAAAGATGAGAAGGCCAGCTATGAGTGGCAAAGGAACTGTTGTCAAATATGTATTTACCAAGGTACTGCAAATTCATTATTATTAAAAATTTCCTTGGAAATTATAATTGACATTTCAGAGCAGAACTTGTAATTGTTGAAAAAAGTCTACTGCTATTGTTTTAAATAATTATGCTGTCATTATTGAGAATGTTAATTGCTATTGTTGAAAATTTACTGCTATTGTTGGATTTTTCTATTGGCTATTATTGAAAATGTACTACTATTTTTGAAATTTTTCTGCTACTGTTGACATTTAACTGTAATTATTGGCATTTTACTGCTTTTGTTTATATTTAACTGCAATGTTTGAAAATTTACTGCTATTATTGGCATATTTCTGCTATTGTTTTTATTTTACTGCTATGGTTGAATATTTACTGCTATTATTGGCATTTTACTGCTTTTATTGACAATTCACTGCTTGGATTTGATTATATTAAATGATTGTAAACTTTATTTTTCAGCAAAATATCATCAATGACTTTGAACTTAATGAAGTGTATAGTCAATGTAAGAAAGTCTTACCAAAGGCAAAGAAAGACAAAGATGTTCAGCAGGAAAAGAAAGAAAATTGATGAGACAGAATAAACTATATGTTGTCCGGTTAATTGGTGAATATCTCATATGCCATAATCATCAACTTAGTGCAGTAACGGGTTAGTGCCTTCTAAATTAAATAGGAGTTAACCAGTTTTTGCACTTAAGTGATGATATAGTTATATTTGTATAGTCAGGAAGTGTTTATGGTGGAAAAAAAGATTTTGGTGCAATTTTTAACGTGATAAAAAATGCTTTGATAGTTTGTTGACATTCACTATTATATGGAAAATACACAGGAAATTTGTTCACAGTGTTTTGTTTGTAAAAAATGTTTTTCTTACTGTATTTTAAATATCACTACCCAAGGACTATTTGGGTTTATTTTGTATCCTATATTTAGGAGAAAAAAATTATTTGGAAAAAAGATGCTTTTTTCCCTTCTTTAAGACCTATAAGTGTAATAAATGAAATAATAATAAATGGAAAAAAAATTTAACTTAAGAATCAAAATTTCGCTCAAAGATAAAATGGCTTTTTAAAAGATCTAACAACATATCTGTTAAATTTTTGCAAAAAAAAAAAAAAAACCAAAAAATGAATAAAATATTTGATTGATTTGATCATGGAAGATTGTTTCAAGTTTCACAATTGACTTACTACACTGTATAAACCAACGAAATGACAGCTGTGTCTTGTTGTGACAATATAGCATTAATTAAGTCTCTCTCCCAATCCCTCTGTGTATACATTTACCTGAATACTTTTGGGGCACAGATATATAAACACACAATAGCAGGCAAACAGAACTGAATACAAAACAAGACATATCAATTTAAACCTTCAAGTCTGTCAAGTATACAATACCAGGTTGTCAAATTAGGTATCCAAGAAAACACATTAAAACATGTATGATGACAATGTTATCTATAGTTTCTCTATTTAATGTGTCAAATTGTAAAACAGAAGTGCCTTCTGGCAACAAAACTGACAACAGGAGGGAGGGGGGTATTTTTTAGATGTCAGACCAGATGATAAGAAACAACTTGGTTAAAATTCTTTGTGTTCATGTATTGACATTTATATAATTGTTGATGTTATTGTTAAATACTTTTATACATACATTACTTCACATGCAGATATTGGTATATAAAATAAACAATTGAAGGATTATTTCCCAAAATATTGAAATACATTCTTTGTTTCATATGCTAATGAATAAAATTTTAATAGTATGTGGATAATAGACATGTATTTGAGCTGAATTTTGACCTTGGAGTAACATATTCTTTAAAGTTTAAAGAAGTATTGCATTCAGTATAGATTGAATTAATATAAAACTGAATACATATCAAATTATTTACACTTAGATTTAACAAAGAAATTTGCCCCAGAGAAGTGTTAAAAAAATCAGTTATGTATCATTATGTTTGAGTTTCAAGATTAATTCATCAAATCAGCAATATTTTTACCACATGTGACATTGGCTGTTAGCAATTTAGTATGAAATCATTGTTTATTTACATAACTAAGCTATAGGTCAGTTGTAGAATTTAACACGAGTTGATATCAAGCATTCCTTAAAAATGGTTCTGTTCCTTCTTGTGTTCATGCAGTATTTTTCTTGTGTTGTTACAAATCCTGTTTTCTTCCTTCCACAGCAACATTTGTGTTTTGCATGTCAGTTGACATAAGATGCATTCCATACTATGAAATGACACAATGCCTGTTTTGCATCACATTTGTTTACATACACATTACTGTCCCCTTTTTCTATAGTATTTACAATAGTTTGTAAACAAACCTACAATATAAAATTTGAGATATAGACAAGATTACATCAGCTTTTGTAAAAACTAAATGCATGCCGAGTCAACCTGGTTGTTATGTATTTTTTCATCCAATATTGAGTTATGTTTTTTGTGAAGTTGTTTTTACCATTTACCAGTATACACATATTCAGACAAAACTTAAAAAAGAAAAAACATGTATAGACTTACCGAATAATAAATAAAACATGTTTTTAAGACACAAGGCAAAAAACAATTATTTTAAAACTAAATTTCAATTTAATCATTATTTTCTTCATCTGTATTATCATATTCATAATGTATTATTTGAATCTCTTGTACATGTTTGTTTTGTAAGTTTAATAAAATTTCTATTAAATTAATAAATATGTTATTCTTTCTCATGGTAATTCTTATGGTGGTGTTTCTCAGACTTACCATTACAACTAACTTCTATTCTTAATTAACTATATACATGTATTTATTTTTTTCGAATGATTAATGGATACAATTGTGTTGTAGATGGTACTTTTGCTATGGATTTCGATTATTCAAACCAATTGATTATTCAAAGTAAATATTAAATCCCCCGCAATTCTAATAATTGAGGTCGAACTGTATGTATATTAAGTCAGTGCTTAAAGTCATAATTATATTAATTCTATGCATAAATTATCACATGGCCATGAAGATTTGTCATTGATGTATCTCAGCTGTTTTATACCAGTAACATGCTTTATTGACAATTTATTAAAGGGAAGCAAAATATATTAAATTTAAACTTTAGGCCCTATCAAAATTCTTATTTCTGTTTATCATGCAATAAAGCAGTTTTAAGATATTGTACTCCATCATTTTCTCTACAGAAAATCCCTGGATGTTGCCCAAGGCCATGATATTTGCACATAACTTTTCTTGTTGCTATACTTTAACTTACTGTACACTGCCATCTGAAATCAAAATTATTTATTGTTAAGAAAATTTGTTGAATGGCTTGGTAAAAAGCACACAAGGCTATATGTGGCAGCATGGCCGAGTAGTTAACACATGAGTCATATAATCTAAGGATCTCTAACCACGTGGGTTCAATCCCTTACTTGGGCAAGCTATAATTTTATTGTAAACTTGAGCAAGAAACTTTACACTTGTTGCACATTAATGGTCAGTCTCAGGAATGGATTCAGGTGTGTGTCTGCAAGCTTATAGCTTCCTACACAATCAAATTAAAATAAATTCTATATAAATTAAAGCTATGATAAATGTTGTGGGTGTATTTTGTTTTTTACACCCTCTGATAATACATGAACTATAGCCCAAGTTTCCAATGATAATAGGCCATAGAATATTTCTAAGTACAAGGGACCAAACTTGTGCAACTATTTGTAAACTTTGTAACAGTTACTTCCCTTAGTTTAAATAAATTTAATTTTTTACAAAATAACCATAAACTGAATTTCTTACTTATACAGACAGCTATATTACTGAATAGCTATCATTGAGGAGACCGATCATTGAGGAGACCGCTAACAGAATACAACAACAATATGTTTACAACTGACTTATTCATATTTATTTTTTCATATTTGCTCTGTAAAACTATATATAGACAAACAGTAAATCATATAATATCTTTTCCTTCTCCAACAAACTTTTCAAATGCCTCGATAAATTACAATATTCGTAAAGGTTCTAAAACACAGTTTTTAACATTTATAACATTTCTAAAATACAGTAAGTCAACATGTGTAACTTTTCTAAAATACAGTCAACACATGTTACTTCTTGAAAATGTAGTCAAAACATGTAACATTTCTAAAATACAGTAAGCCAAGATGTGTAACTTTTCTAAAATATAGTCAACACATGTTACTTCTTGAAAATGTAGTCAAAACATGTAACATTTCTAAAATACAGTAAGTCAACACATGTAACTTTTCTAAAATACACTCAACACAACCATCATGTGTAACTTCTCTAAAATACTGACAACACATGTATTGCTAACTTTTCTAAAATGCAGTCAACTCATTAACTTTTCTTAATACAGTCAACGTGATACTTCTCTAAAATGTAATGTTAACTTTTCTAAAATGCAATCATGTAACTTTTCTAAATACAGTCAACACATGTTACTTCTCTAAAATGCGGTCAACACAATGTAATGTTAACTTTTCTAAAATGCAATCATGTAACTTTTCTAAATACAGTCAACACGTGTTACTTCTCTAAAATGCAGTCAACACAATCTAATGTTAACTTTTCTAAAATGCAATCATGTAACTTTTCTAAATACAGTCAACACGTGTTACTTCTCTAAAATGCGGTCAACACAATGTAATGTTAACGTTTCTAAAATGCAATCATGTAACTTTTCTAAATACTGTCAACACGTGTTACTTCTCTAAAATGCAGTCAACACATGTATTGTTATCTTTCCTTAAATGCAGTCAACTCGTGTAACTTTTCTAAGTACAGTCAACACGTGTTACTTTTTAAGACATAGCACATTTTACTTTTCTATAGAAAAATCAAATCAATAGGTGATCAGTCACATCTGAAAATGCATAACTGCACTTACATGTAAACCATTTCTGCTTCTGCACATTGTTAAATATCTTAAAATTTTGTACTAAAAACAGCCAAATGATATTGAAGATGAGAACAACTTTTCCACATCGGGTTAAATATAGACTTAACACAGTCAGTTATTCATAAGACAGATTAAAGTATAGTAAACATCATAATCAGGTTACAATTTGGCAAAAAAATTTACTTTTTAGGTGTACAAAAAGCTGGTACAAGTTTCTGTTATATTGCTATTTAAAATGGCACAAATGTTACTATAGTTAGATATATTGTACTTTGAAATATGAAGAAAAAACACACCTTTAAACAGAAACCATTGTTTGGTTTCTAAAGATTGTTTTGGAAGCTAGAATTAGTCTTATCTGCCATGACCATTGTGTTTACTTATGAAATGAAATCTTGCATTTATTCTAAATGGACAATAATGGTGTGTTTTGATTAAAATGGTAGGCAGAAATTGTCTTCACTTTGGATATATGATAAAATTGCTATAATTTACCATTGTACTTGATTGCAGTGCTAAGAAATAGGTGACATCTCAGATGCATATACAATATATATAATGCAAGCATTTCTAAGTAAACATACTTTGTACAAAACCTGACTAACTAATAGCAAAATATGTAATTCTAAAATCAGAAAAACAATTATTTGACACATGATAATATGCTGCCTTACAAGACAATTATTTAACATGGACATTTCTGTAATAGGACTTCAAGGCATGTAAAGCTACATAACTAGCACAATATACAATACAAAAAAAAATTCAAAAGCTGTACACTAGCTCATATTTTTTTCATATTTTTATGGTTACTATTTCAAGAGCTCAAAATATTTCTGTCATCATATTCTAACAAGATGCTCAGTTTAAAGAAATTCTATTGAACAGTTATAATTCTGCCTACCTATGTCAATATGAAAACTCCCGAAAACTGATCTCATTGAGTCATTTTTCACAATTAAGAATTCTTGAAGAATGGAAAGAGAAAATGATCTGAAATTTGGCACACAACTTATTGGTCTGAGTCTCATCAAGTCAAAAAACCTCCATAAAGTCCCTTAAAAATATATATTATTTTCTAAAATTTGATTTTTTAAAGATATTTATTTATTCAACTGGAGGTGTGGCACTTTAAGATTTAAACCATTCAAAAATTGTTTGCACGGTGAGATGAGATGATTTTGTTATCAAACATATACAGAAACAGGTTGTAAAAGCAAAGTATATTAATTTCTCTTGCAATATTATCATTATATAATGCAATGTATAACTTTTAAAGCTTGTGGTTACAGCATACCCTATATCTAAATATATTTTCCAGATTTAATTAAAAACCTATTTTACTAATAATTTTTATTGCAACTTAAAATTTATTGTTTCCATTCAAATACTTGAAAGTATAGAAAAACAATAGCAGTGTAAGCATTAAAGATAGTTCTAAGCAATGTGTTATTAAAAATAATGCTTTTTTGGCTGGATTGCACGTCAAAGATCTTTCCAGCAACTTTCCAGTTTTTTATTGGCAGAGAAAGATCTGACGTGCTTTGTGTGCATTACATAAATGAGTGAAGACCTGAGTAAGTGCAATATGTAAAGAATAAATTACTTTCTTAGTTCACTTCATAATATTTTACTTATAAATACATTTTCAAAATTTATATGAAAATAAGCATGAATCTGGAGGCATGCTGCTTTAACCAATCAACTAAAAGAATTGATAATCATGGCAAAACTGTTATGTAAGAAAAGATAATCACAAAGACATACATGTATTGTGAGCTATTATCAACATCTTAGACAGTTTTAGTTTGGTATAATAAATTTTGTACTGGCATGAAACAGCTTCGAAATGCTAAATTATATTAGCAACAAATATGTATCTTTTCCTTATAATTATACAAAAATAGATTCCATCTAAAATCTAAAAGCAAAAAGAAGAAAGAAAAACCGAGCTCATATACAGTCTTCCTTATGGGCCTCTGTTTTTGGTGATATTCTATTTTATTTCTTATGGGCCTCTGTTTTTTTGTGACATTCTATTATATTTCTTAAGGGCCTCTGTATTTGGTGACATTATATTATGTTCCTTATGGGCCTCTGTCTTTGGTAACATCATATTAAGTAGAGTTCAAGAATTCAAAATAACAATGTCCTAACTGTTGGAAAAAGGTAACCCTAACAACTTATGTGCTTAATAAAAACCATTAATATTCATGGTTGAAAATATTTTTTTCTTTTCCAAGCCTATACACAATTAAATAAAATAGAATATTTTCAAAGCAATTTTCCCATTCTTTAATGCTGTGCAAAATACAATGTATAGGTAATTATTACATAATTTGTTATAAAAATCTTTATAGATAATTTGCTAATTTAATGTTAACAAAATGTACTGTAGAAAAATAGAAATAACACTTAATATTTTCCTCTGTGAAAAATAAATAACACACATTTTAAGAATTCAGCACAAATTTGTTTATAGGACTGAAATTTAGTTTAACAAATTAAACAAATGAACATGCCACAGGGCACAGAAGGAATATTTTTATTTAAATTTATAAAAATTAACCATGATTAAATTATGCAAAT